TGTAGGTGTTCAGAATGGTTTGATCCCTATCCAGCTGAATTCCTGAGAGGAGACGAAATCCAGGTCTCCTACTCCTCCGCCATCTTGCTCCGCCCCTCAAGTTTGTTTTATGTTTTAAAAAAAAAAAAAACAGGATAAGGGAGGTGACGGTGTCTCTTCGGTATTAAATAAACACCACTTGGGGAATTGTGAATAAATTCTGAGTCTGTATTTCAGGAGGAGCATCTATGAGGTAGAGATTAGCCAAGGAGAAAAGTGAGAATGCTAAAATGTTTGAAAACCAAAATAAGAATAATCCCTAAGATACACATAGAACTTCAGTTTACAAAGTACCTTCACATGTAACCTCATGATTGTGACCATGTATGAGTAGTGAATAAGAATATTTAGACTGGCAAAAGAAGACTTTATATTAGAGTTTTAGAAGTGTTATATTGGAAAGCAATTAGACATGTTTTCTGTGACTCTGAGGGCAGAATAGCATCAGTGGGATAAAGTTACCTACAGACATAAATTTCTAATTAGCAATGCTGACCACCGATGGAATGGACCACTCTTTGTGAGGCTGTCGGAGCCAGAGTAAGATGACCACTTGGCTGGAAAGAGAATACTCAAGCACTGAGGAAGCTGGGTGCTTGAGGCTCCTTCAAACTCTGACATTCGAAGTAGCAAAACATGCTCCTTTATATTCTACCACTTTTTCCTTTCCTCTCAGTGGGCCTTCTGCTTTAAAGAGATGACACCTGATGTTTCCATCTTTACCTAGAAGATGGGGTACATTTGTAAAAATGTAAAATGGCCACGGAGTCTTCCCTTCCCTGCATCCATGTTTTTACAATGTGATGTTTGAGATCCTTCTATCAAGAAATGGTCTATTTCCCTACCTCCTGAATCTGGCTTGGCCACGTTATGTGTTTTGTGCCACAGAAGAAATCTGAAAAGGACTTGCAGTCTGGGGCTTGCTCTCTTGCTCCCGTTAGGACCCCTGTACTGCCAGGACGTGGATCAGCCTAGCCTAGCCTGCCAAATAATGGGAGGTTATGAGGCAGAGAACTCAGACACCCTAGCTCCAGCCGACAGCCTGTCAAATGCCGGACATGAGAGTAAGACCGTCTTAGATCACCCAGCCCCCAGCTGACCTGCCATCTCACCACAAATGCATGAGCAAGCCAGTCAGAAATCAGCAAGCCAGCCTAAACCAGATGAACTGCCCAAATAACCCACAGAATCATGAGCTAAACTGAAGTCCTTGTATGACACCACTGGGTTCTGGGGTAGTGTGTTCAGCAGCAAAAGCTAACTGATACAGAAGTGAGCACAGGATATCCACATTCCAACCCTAGCTGCACTTCCTGCTCTAAAGACGAAAGAAGATTTTCCCTTGAGTCGCAACCATAGTAAACCGTGGGTCCTATGTTGGATGAAAGTTCATCCTGTTTACTCAGAGCTGCCTGGTTACATGTAAAATACTTTTCCAAGTTTCTGGGCATTGGGCTGTTTAATGATGCCGCATCTTTGGAAGTAGGACCCCACTGTTGGCAGGCTGCCTGCGTCCCTAGGTCTCACAATACTTCGTTAAGAGAAGGGGCACAATGCTGAAGTCACCTAACCTGCTGGAAGTCCTCCTGAGGTTGTGCAATCATAGAATGTCAGAGCTGGAAGGGCCCTCCAAGGTAAGGTAATTCAAAATCTTCATTTGACAGGTGAAGAAATTGAACCTCAAGAAGTTAAGCATCTTGCTCAAGATTACAGGCTAGATGAAAGCCTGGGTATCCTGGGTATCCTATCCTAGCCTCTTTGTCTCCTACACTGGCTTCTCAAGTTCTGTTTTCTGCTTCTATCCATCAGTGCATTTGTGGACAATGTACCAATAGGAGTAGTTTGAGAACTTCTTTTGGTCAAATGTTGTTTATGAATATCCTTAACTAAGATGGTATGTTCTTGTAACTATCTTCATTTTTTGGTTGGCTGTTCTTCCCTTAAAGTGTCAACTTCCTTTTTTTCAAGAGTTATTTTTAGTCACTAAATATGCATATTGTTTTCACCATAGGAAAAGAATTTCCTCCCTGTGCTATTGAAGTCTATAAAATAATGGAGAAAGTTGATTATCCCAGGAATGAAAATGGAGATATTGCTGCTATTATCCACCCTAATCTGCAGGTAACATTTGCTGTTTCTTTAAAATATTCAAAAAAAATGTGGAACATAAGCAATAGCACGGAGGACCATAGGAGAAGGGAGGGAAATCTGAAGGGGGAGAAATCAGGAAGGGAGATGAACCATGAGAGACTCTGGAACCCGGAAAATGAACTGAGGGTCTCAGAGGGGAGGGGTAACCGGATGATGGGTACTGAGGAGGGCATGTGTTGTGATGAGCACTGGGCATTATACGTAACTAATGAATCACCGAACACTACATCATCAAAAACTAATGACGTACTATACAATGGCTAACTGAACATAATAAAAAATATATTCAAAATGATGATGCCCCACCTTCAAATAGAACTTTACAGTTTATAAACCATTTTACACACATTAGCTCATTTGTGTTCCCCAAAAACACTGCAGTGTAGGTAGGGTATTCAAACCTTCATTCAGTAAGTATTTGTTGAGTAGATCCCATGCTGGCTTTGGGGATACAGTGAACACTGTCTATACTTTTGCGGTATTTACAGGGCAGCTGTACTAAATTCTAAACTGCGTTTTAGAAATCAAGATAGCCAGGCACACCTGGGTGGCTCAGTCGTTAAGCAACTGCCTTCGGCTCCGGTCATGATCCCGGGGTCCTGGGATCGAGCCCCGCATCGGGCTCCCTGCTCGGCAGGGAGTCTGCTTCTCCCTCTACCCCTC